GCAAGACTAAGTACTTGGAGGTATAAGTATACAAGTTGTACTATCAATGGAGGTGAGCTACAATGAGCCACTTAATAACTAAGTCTTTTCAAGTAGAAATTACTAAACCCCTTTTATACTTGTCTCATAAAACAATTTTGCACACAAGCCAAGTAAATGTGTGTGTGCACGAACCCCTAGTAGGCAAAAAAGCCTTTTAAACGAACTTGGAACGTTCCTAATTACAATTAGAAAGTAAACTAACGAAAAAAGCAAATAAAGAAAGCAAGTTACATATACTAGTCGAATGCCCTAGGGTGGAAGTCTAAGTGACACTTAGAGCCCCTTAGAACACTTCCACAAGTACTAAACGTTCCAAGAAAGCAAGTAAACTAGACGAGTCCTAGTGGAAGCCCAGATGACACTTAGAGCCCTTTGGGACACTTCCACAAGTACTAACGGATACTAGGTTTCAATTAGAAAACTTAGGAGTGGTGGGAGAACACAAACTATGTTTCCCAAGTCACCCCTAGTAAGTTTATACAATTTTAAAGCAAAGAATATAAAAGGTCCATCAACCAAATGAAACTCAAATGAAACACAAATGAAATGAAAATCCAAGCAATTTGGTGACAGATTTTTGCAATGGATTTTAGAGATGGATTTGCTTAGTGATGGAAAATTCCGTCTCTAGAGTAGTCTCTAATCCAGTTAGAATTTTGTGTAATCATCTTCGACCTGCAAAAAGAGCAAACAAGTTAGTCACTCCAATGGTTGTCGATTAAAATAACCATCTTGTGAATGCAACCGATTTTTACCGAGTTCAAGGACAAAAACACAAATATAGGGTTTTAACAAGATCGCATACCTTTTACATCATTTGTGGACTAAAATAATCATGTAAATACAACCAATTTTTACTAAGATTAGGGACAAAGGCAAATATATAGGGCTTTCATGCCCTGTATTTTCTCCCGATGAATACAAAATGTATCTAGTAACAATCGTCTCAATTTTTCGACATCAAGGTCAAGCATAAAAAGATAATATATATCTTTCATCATTTATCGACTAAAATAATCATCATATAAATACAACCAATTTTTACTGAGATGAGGGACATAATCAACTACATAGGGCTTTCATGCCCTATATTTTCTCACGATGAATACAAAATGTATCTAATAACAATCGTCTCGATTTTTTGACATCAGGGTCAGTTATAAGAAGATCGCATACCTCTTTCATCATTTGTTGACTAAAACAATCATCATGTAAATACAACCAATTTTTACCGAGATGATGGACATAGGCAAATATATAGCGCTTTCATGTCTTATATTTTCTTACGAGGAATACAAAATGTATCTAATAACAACCGTCTCAATTTTTTGACATCAGAGTCAGACATAAAAAGATCGTATACCTCTTTCATCATTTGTCGACTAAAATAATCACCATGTAAATACAATTAAATTTTACCGAGATGAGGGACAAAGGCAAATATATAGGACTTTCATTCCTTATTTTTTTCTCACGATCAATACAAAATGCATATAATAACAACCGTCTCAATTTTTCAACATCAGACTTAGGTTTAAGAAAATCGTATACCTCTTTCATCATTTGTCGACTAAAATAATCATGAAATACAACGAATTTTTACGAAGATGAGCGAAAGAGGCAACTATATAGGACTTTCATGCCCTATACTTTCTCACGATGAATACAAAATGTATCTAATAATAATCGTCTCAATTTTTCGACATCAGGGTTAGGCATAAAAAGATCGTATACCTCTTTCATCATTTGTCGACTAAAATAATCATCATGTAAATACAACCAATTTTTATCGAGATGAGGGACAGAGGCAAATACATAGGACTTTCATAACCTATATTTTTTTACGATGAATACAACATGCATCTAATAAAAACCGTCTCAATTTTCAACATCAAGATCAGACATAAGAAGATCATATACCTTTTTCATCATTTGTCAACAAAAATAATCATCATATAAATACAACCAATTTCTACCGAGATGAGGTACAAAAGCAATTATATAGGGCTTTCATGCCCTATAATTTTCCACGATGAATACAAAACGTATCTAATAACAATCATCTCAATTTTTAGACATCAGGATCAGACATAAAAAGATCATATACCTCTTTCATCATTTGTCGATTAAAATAATCATCATGTAAATATAATCAATTTTTACGAAGATAAGGGACATAGCCAACTATATAGGGCTTTCATGCCCTATATTTTCTCACGATGAATACAAAAGATATCTAATAACAACTGTCACGATTTTTCAACATCAAGGTCAACCATAAGAAGATCGCATACCTCTTTCATTATTTGTCAACTAAAACAATCATCATGTAAATACAACCAATTTTTAGCGAGATGAGGGACATAAGCAAATATATAGTGCTTTCATGCCTTATATTTTCTCACGAGGAATACAAAATGTCAACCATCTTAATTTTTCGACATCAGGGTCAGGCATAAAAACATCGTATACCTTTTCCATCATTTGTCAACTAAAATAATCACCATGTAAATACAACTAATTTTTACCGAGATGAGCGACAAAGGCAAATATATAAGACTTTCATTCCCAAATTTTTTCTCACGATCAATATAAAATACATATAATAACAATTGTCTCAATTTTTTAACATCAGGTTTAGACATAAGAAGATCGTATATCTCTTTCATCATTTATCGACAAAAATAATCACCATTTCAACACAACGAATTTTTACCAAGATGAAGGACAAAAACAAATATATAGGGCTTTCATAACCTATATTTTCTCATGATGATTACACAATGCATCTAATAACAACCGTCTCAATTTTTCGACATCAGAATCAGGTATAAAAAGATCATATACTTCTTTCATCATTTATCGATTAAAATAATCATTGCGTAAATAAAACTAACTTTTACCGAGATGAGGGACAGAGACAATTATTGCGTAAATAAAATTAATTTTTACCGAGATGAGGGACAGAGACAATTATATAGGGCTTTCATGCCCTATATTTTCTCATAATAAATATAATATGTATCTAATAACAACCGTGTCAATTTTTCGAGATCAGAATAAGATATAAAAGGATCGTATACCTCTTTCATCATTTGTCGACTAAAATAATCATGTAAATACAACAAATTTTTACGAAGATGAGGAACAAAGGCAACTATATAGGGCTTTCATACCCTATATTTTCTCACGATGAATACAAAATGTATCTAATAATAGCCGTGTCAAGTTTTCGACATCAGGATTAGGCATAAAAAGATTGTATATCTCTTTCATTATTTGTCGACTAAAACAAATCATTAGGCAAATACAATTAATTTTTTCAAAGATGAGGGACAAAGGCAAATATATAGGGCTTTCATGCCCTATATTTTCTTACTATGAATACAATATGTATCCAAAAACAACCGTTTCAATTTTTCGACAATAGGATAAGGCATAAAAGGATCGTATACCTCTTTCATCATTTGTCGACTAAAACAATCATGTAAATACAAAGAATTTTTACGAAAATGAGGGACAGAGGCAACTATATAGGGCTTTCATGTCCTATATTTTTCACGATGAATACAACATGCATCTAATAACAATTATCTCCATTTTTTCGACATCAGGATCAGACATAAGAAGATCGTATACTTCTTTCATCATTTGTCGACAAAAATAATCATGTAAATACAACCAATTTTTATCGAGATGAGGGACAAAGGCAATATATAAGACTTTCATGTCCTATATCTTTTCACGATGAATACAACATGCATCTAATAATAACCGTCTCAATTTTTCAACATCAGGATCAGGCATAAGAAGATCGTATACATGTTTCATCATTTGTCGACAAAAATAAATCATGTAAATACAACCAATTTTAACCGAGATGAGGGACAAAGACAAATATATAGAACTTTTATGTCCTATATTTTTTCACGATGAATACAACATGCATCTAATAATAACCGTCTTAATTTTTTGACATCAGGATCAGGCATAAGAAGATCATATACCTCTTTCATCATTTGTCAAAAAAATAATCATCATGTAAATACAACCAATTTTTACCGAAATGAGGAACAAAGGCAATATATAGAACTTTCATGTCATATATTTTTTCATGATGAATACAACATGCATCTAATAATAACCGTCTTAATTTTTTGACATCAGGATCAGGCATAAAAAGATCGTATACCTCTTTCATCATTTGTCGACAAAAATAATCATCATGTAAATACAACATATTTTTATCAAGATAAGGGACAAAGGCAAATATATAGGACTTTCATGCCCTATATTTTTTCACGATGAATACAACATGCATCTAATAATAACCATTTCAATTTTTTGACATCAGGATTAGGCATAAGAAGTTCGTATACCTCTTTCATCATTTGTCGAAAAAATAATCATCATGTAAATACAACCAATTTTTACCAAGATGAGGGACAAAAGCAACCTTCTCAATTTTTCGACATCAAGACCAGGTATAAAAAGATCATATACCTCTCTCATCATTTGTCGATTAAAATAATCATGTAAATACAACCAATTTTTATAAAGATGAGGGACAAAGGCAAATATATAGGACTTCCATGCCCTATATTTTCTCACAATGAATACAATATGTATCTAATAACAACCGTCTCAATGTTTCAACATCAGAATAAGACATAAAAAAAATCATACACCTTTATCATCATTTATCGACTAAAATAATTATCATATAAGTACAACCAATTTTTATCTAGATGAGGGACAAAAACAAATATATATGGCTTTCATGCCTTATATTTTCGTACAATGAATACAAAATACATATAATAATAATCGTCTAAATTTTTTGACATCTGAGTTATGCATAAAAAGATCATATACCACTTTCCATCATTTGTCGACTAAAATAATCATTATATAAATATAACTAATTTTTACATAGATAAGGAACAGAGACAAAATCATTAAAGAAAGTAAAATAAAAAAACTAGACGCGTTCCTACGTGATAATTTTGTTGGACACTCAATAGTCTCCCATCACACCTTCACAATATCTAACAAAAATTAATAAATGAAATTAACAGAAAAATAGAAGTTTGAGTAGGCACTTAGAACCTCTCAAAACCATTACCAAGAGAAAGGCCTTTACAAAAAGAAATTAAAATAAAAATGAAATTCAAAATATAATAAACAAACTCATAAATGTAAAAGTGTTTTCTAATGTTTCCCTCATCTCTTTGGTGTTGGATCTTTTCAAGCTCTCCATAAGATAGTCTCACCCAAGTGATAAGTTCTCATAGTCTTTTATCAAAATTCCAAAATGCTACCTTCACTTGAAAATTCATCACCAAAACAACATTAGAAAAGTTATAAAAAAAAAAAATCAATAAATATAACTAAACTCTAAAGTATCAACACCAAAAAAAAAAACTCTAAAGTATCACAACCATATGATATTCCCAATCCCATATAGGTTGTTCCTTAATTCCAATAGACACATTCAATAAAATCAGAAGTGAATAGCTATGTCTTTCAAGTTTTAGATTGAAATAAAAGATGCAATAATGTTTGCTCTACACAGCCTATTATTTATTCGCTAACAACGGAAAAACAATTTATTATAGTAATACACATCATAACAAAATACATACATCTTTAAAATATGTATAAAAAATACTTATTTACAAACCTTAGAAGCTTATATTATTCTTAAATTACATAAATCAAATTGAAATTATTCGCATCAAATCAACATTCGATAATTTATGTTCATTTTTTTTCTCTTGAAAAACAAAGAGAGAAAGAAAGAAAAACTTGTCAATTTATTTTAGTGTTTTAAAACTGGTCAAATTATGCTAAAAGTAGATTCCTATCTAAATTCAAATAAACTTTAGATGTATTAATCAATTCTCAATCAAAACAGTACTAAAATATGATAAAGGTTTCTTATTATTCTAAGGACTCTTTCTAAAAGTCATTTGTCTTTCTTATACGATTGTAACTTTATGAATTACTTTAAATTAATACTCATCTCATGTAACCAATTCTTAAAGAAAACCATCTTTTGCATAAAAATATTTTATCACCTCACCCTCTTAATAATGCTTTTGGTGCTATGTTTTCTAGAATCAAAATACTTATCCTAAATCACAAAAGGAAGTGGCGTATGCAACCAAAAGACATAAACAAGAATTAGGTTGACCAAGAAAATTTGGAGTCTAGCTCCTTACAATAGAGGTAAAATCCTTAAAAGAAAACTTTAGAACAAAAAACATGCACATAGATACAGTAGTTATGCAGAATCCTAAAGTGCTCCATCACTTTATCTTTCCTCTTCCTTGCATTTTGGTGTTATACAAGAATTCTATTCTTTTTTTCACTCCAAGTATACCAGCTAGCTTGGTTTTTATTCACAAATTTCTCTCAACATATTCTACCCCTTATTCCCCCTTTGGCTTTCATACACTTGCAACCTAGTAAGCCCACTCCTCTCCCAAGCATAATATAATATATGTGTGTATATATATATAACAATGATTGACCACTGTGAAACAGGATAACACTCAAAAGTCAAAAAATATTTCAGCCACAACCTTAAACCATATACCTTCAACCATATATCCATCATCATTGACTTAGCTTGTCAAATACATGCTTCAACAAATATACTTTTCTGGCAATCATTTTTGGATTTCTATTCGCAGCCACAGGCCATTTCAACTTCATACTATATATTTTTATGATCATTCTTTTCACATTCCAAGTTTCACAAATGCTGAAACAATATAATTATGATAGAAGTTTTAAGCATAAATAGGCTGCAAGATTTAAATTAACTCAGGGCTAGATTAGCCTCACCTTTCATGCATTCCATCTCATCTCCCTTCACAACTTTGTCAATTAGTGTTTGGTTCAAATTTTTGGGAAACCAAATTTCTATCCTGTAAAAAGCAAACAATGCATCAAGGAAGTAAAAGTTCCAAGTTCAATTCTCATCCTAAAAAGAGCAAGGAGTGTAAAATTAAACACACATAAAAGACAAGAAGAAAAAGCTAGCAAATGGCTATTAATATCTAAGAAATAATATTGATAAAAAAAATTAAGGAAATCTTGTAATGAATGGCATTAGAAACAGATTTGGCTTAACTCACTCCCAAAAGGCCAACTCAAGGGAAGATGATTGACAAATTGCGATAAGGAGTAGTCTAGCCATATTCCTAGCCAATGTAGGGCTTTTAACAAACACATCTTACACCTAGAACTACACATCTAGTATATCCTATTTGAAGGAGTGAACATTTCAAGTGGTCCAATACTAGCTTGAGGGAAGAGGATTGTCCAAGTCTTGAAAGGAATGTTCTAGCCATATTCTTAGCTTGAGTGGGATACAAAACAAGATTTTAAACAAAATTCATATATTTGATTTTGGGTTGATAAATTGATTTTGAGTTGAAGGAACTTTAGGTAGCTTTTGTTTTCGATAAAAATATTATACTAAATTTTCCTACTAACTTCCTTTTAAATAAAAGGTCAAAAAATAAATCACATTCATTTAAATTTAATTTTGAATAAAATCAATTTTGCAAAGACTTGCTATTACATTTTACCAAGAGATAAGCTGCATTCAAGCACTCAATCTATTTTACCATTTACCAAAGAACAAACTCTTTTTATCAAGTCCTAACTCTTGAAGACGCATATCAACACAAGGTATTTGAACAACCAGCCAAGCATGGTAGTTTTAAGAATTTTGTACAATACAAACCTAATTTTATACAATAGAAATTTTTCTCAACTCAAGATAAAACATCAAGCTCTTCAGCAGAAAATCTATAGAATGGAAAGAGCAAGGAAAATTGAAAACAGACTTCAGGAAAACATTTTTAAACAGAGTTAAGACACTATATAGCATAGCAAACAACTTCAAAACAGAAAATGAGTGAAAACTGAAAACAGACTTGAGGAAAACATTTCTAAACAGAGTTAAGACACACTATATGGCATAGCAAACAACTTCAAAACAGAAAATGAGTTTACTTTTACCGTCATTTATTTTTATAGAGACACAT